AGCAGTGTGCCTGGTAAGATTAATTAGTCACGGCTTTTGGTGTCTTGGTGACATGGAGACAGAATTTAGCAAGAGCTCCGAGGGTGCAGTGCACAGGGTTGTTCAGCATTGAAGAGAAAGACTCAGTGCTCACCAGGCCAGAAGGAATCATGGAAGGAATCTCTCTGCAGAGATGGAGCTAAGGCCAGGATAGGACAGAGTGCGCCTTCTGAACAAAGGTGTGACTCCAACACGTGGGTAGCTCTGCGCAGTCAAGAGGTGTCTTGGCATCACATTTCCCAAGACAAGAGCTGATGGAGGACCAAACTGGAGAACACAGCACCCAGCACAGGACAGAGTCAGAATGTGCATGCTGACCACCCGCGGAGAATGCTTGCCTCCTTCCCACCTGCTTGGAAGGAGCACAGCAAGGCAGGGCTGTGGCTTTCAGCTCTTAAGAGAGGGAAGCAACGCCTCCAGGCGAGTCCCACCCACATGCCATCCCTGAACTGCTGGGCAGGAGCTGCAACCACCACCTGGGCTCCTCCTCCTCCCAGGGCCTGAGACAGGCCTCTAGACCAGGCAGGATGGGCTTGTTCCCCTGGCCAATGTCTGGTTTAGGCAGGGCACGTGGTTGTGACAGGAGACAGAGGGACTTCCAGGAAAGGCTTTCTTTACAAACTGGGGGAGATGCAGGGAAGAAATCTGCTTTCTCTTTGCTGATGTGGGATTGTGGCTGTGATGGCTGCAACCAACGCAGCCTCTTGCTGTCTGGGAAGAAGTGCTCCAGGGTGCATGACTGATGGAGGGTTTTGACAGTGGCCTTCTGGACACCAGCCTCCTTTTTACACAGTGCACACAGGGATCAGGTGCCACATTGGTGAGGGAATTGGAGGTCATTTTAAATTTTTTGGTTTTTTTCAAACAAGCCTCTATTTGTAGGAAGAACAGAACTCAAAGGGCTTTTCCCCTTCACTGCACTAAAACCTAAGCTCTTTGTGGAGAAAAATGTGTCCTACACCTTGAATGTGGCTTGACCTTGGCTCCAACCTCATTCCATGAATGCAGATGGGAATTTTGTGACCAAAATGGATTAGAATATAACAAAATATTTCTGTCACACCAAGTAGACTTTAGTGATCTGTTGGAGAGACAGATCTAATTACAGCTGAATCTTTGGGGGAAAAAATAGTTGTTTTATGAATAATGAAAGCTGATAAAACTGGGAGCACCACAAAATTAAATTGTGTCTTTCATGTTTGAGTCAAAATCACTAGCTAGCCTTGGAGAAAGTAATTTAATTATGAAGTACAGACTGCTTTTTTGTATCTCAGTCTCTCTCCTCTGTACCTCTTGTCTGCACAAGGATCCTATCAGGTGACCCAACCCTCATTCACAATCCAGTTTTGGAGACCATGTATTCCAGCTGCTCTACCCATGCATGCATATATGCATCTATCCCTCCCTCCATCACATGCATGCATGCATCTATCATCATCCCTCCTTCCCTACCTCTTTCCCTCCCTTCCTCCCTCTACCCACCCACCCACTCATCCATTCACTGGCATTATCAGCCACTTGCTACACACTGCACTATGAGGGATGTTGTCCTCACTTAACATCCACTGTTAAACGGTTCTACTTTACAAACGTGGACACTGAGGCAGGTGAAGAAGCTTGCCCAAAGACACTGTGAGTTGCAGAAATGGGACTTGATTCTGAAGCTTGGATGCTGCTTCAACCGCCAGAAGACTAGCAGCCTCAGTGTCTCCCTCAGGTCTCAGGTTCTTGGTACTCCCTTCACCTTAGCCACAGGCCCACACCTGTGTCAGCAAAACCCGAAAATTCAAATTAAAGGCAACAACTGTACAGTACAGACCTATAGCTGGGTAACAACTTACAAAAAAGCAGAGGCTGTATCTGTGTTCAAAGCTCAGCTGTGGGTTCCCCTTCACACAGCCCTTAGACATGGCAGCCATTCAACCCTGGTGCTCACAATGTGTGCCCCACACCACCTTTCCAGGCTTAGCAGCTACTCCCTCTGAAATATACTTAGTTTTTAAAATGCTACACCTGTGTAGTTGGATTCAGTGAAGAGAAACATGAAGAATGTCCTATTTTTCTGTCAGATTTTCCCCGAGATTTTTTCATTTTTTACATCCAAAGCAGACAGTCATTGTAGCTAGCCTTGTACTACTCTGGAACAAAAAATTCCTCTGCTACTCAGCCACGGAGGTTAGGGAGCCGGTGTTTGGGATTAAGGAGGTTCTTCCAAGCGTTTCTTAGCATCACCACACCCTGTGATAAGTCTGGGAAAAGACAAGGTGTCTTCTACTCAATGTACCACTGGATGCCCTAGCCAGAGCAATTAGGCAGGAAATAAAAGGTATGCAAATCAGAAAGAAAGAAGTAAAACTGTCTGTTTGCAGATGTGTCTTTATATGCAGAGAACCTTAAGACTCCACTACAAAACTGTTAGAACTATTAAACAAATTCAGTAAAGTTAGAAAATTAAAAATAAACATAGAAAAATTAGTTGCCTTTCTATACACTAACAATGCACTGTCTGGAAAAGAAATAAAGAAAAAAATCCCACTAACAATACCTTCAAAAACAATTTTTGGGAATATATTTAACCAAGGGATTAAAAACTCTGTACATGAATACTAAGACACTGATAGTAGAAACCGAAGACACAAATAAATGGAATGACATCCTGTGTTCACGGCTCAGAAATATTAATATTGTTAAAATGTCCAGCCCTGGCCAGTGGTGCTAAGTGGTTAGAGCATCGGCCCACACACCAAATGGTCTCAGGTTTGATTCCCAGTCAAGGGGACATACCTGGGTTGCAGGTTTGATCCTCATTCAGGAGGCAACCAGTCGACGTTTCTCTCTCTATCTGCCTCTTCCTTCTTCCCTCTCTTCCACTCTCTCTAAAAATCAATGGAAGCTCTGGCAGGCGTGGCTCAATGGTTACAGCATCTCCCTCCAATCAAACTGAAGGGTCTCGAGTTTGATTCCTGGTCAAGGGCACTACCTGGTTGCAGGCTCCTGGGCCCCCATCCAGGTGCATGTGGGAAGCAAACAATTCATGCGTCTCTCTCACATTGAAGTTTCTCTCTTTCATTGATGCTTCTCTCTCCTCCTTTCCTACCTCCCTTCCACTCTCTCTAAAATCACTAGAGAAAATATCCTTGGGTGAGGATTAACAACAACAAATGTTCATACTAATCTAAGCAATCTTTAGTTCAATGCAACCACTATAAAAATGCCAATGGCATTTTTCATATAAATAAAGTCCCAGCCCAGCCCACATGGCTCAGTGGTTGAGCATCAACCTATGAACCTGGGGGTCATGGTTAGATTCCTGGTCAGGGCACATGCCTGGGTTGTGGGCTCAATCCCATGTGGGGCCTGCAGGAGGCAGCTGATTGATGACTCTCTCTCATCATTGATGTTTCTATCTCCCTCTTCCTCTCTGAAATCAATAAAATATATTTAAAAAAATAAGAAAAGCCATACAATTTTTAGGAACCACATAACATCCTGAATAGTCGAAGCAATCCTGAGGGAGAACAAAGCTGCATCACACTTCCTGACTTTAAGCTACATTACAAAGTTGTACTGAAAACAGTGTGACATAAAACCAGACACCTAGACCAACTAAACAAAATCAAGTGCCCAGAAATAACCCCTGCATAAAAGTTCAACTATTATTTGACAAGGAAGCCAAGAATACTCAATAGAAGAAAAACCTCTTCAATAACAGTGTTAGGGAAAGTGCATATTCACTTGAAATAGAATGAAATTTGGACCTCTTTCTTGTAACATTTACAAAAGTAAACATGAGGTTTAAATATGACCTGAAACTGTGACACTCCTAGAACAGGGAGAAGCTCCTTGACATGGGTTTGTTAATAAATTTTTGGATGACACCGAAACCACAAGCGACAAAAGCAAACATCAACCAGACAAATCTTCTGCAGAGCAAAAGAAACAATCTATAATATGAAAGGGAACCTACACACACACACACACACACACACACCACAAAAGATTCTGCTAATAGGAAAGACATGAAATAAGCATTTCCATAGTGATGGTTACTTGAAACTTTAAAATTTAGGAGACTTTCTTTTCTTATTTCTCAATTGAGGATGGCATTTTATGACACAAAATTCAAAAAAAGTTAATTTAAAACTTTATGAATCAGAGTATAACACAAAATTTTTAAAAATTTCATGGCAACAGACATTTAAAATAAAAAACAGACAATAAACTGGAACAAATATTTGCATCTCATACATCAAGGGCTCTGACAAATTAACCTGAAAAAGAACAATCCAAATAAAATGTGCACAAAAGATCCGAGTTCACAGAAATACACAGCTCTTTAATATATGGATATATTTGGTGTAATTCCTGAGAATGCAAATGAAGACCACAGGAAATCCCATGTTTCACCTGTCACAGCAGTAAAGGTCACAGAGCTGTGATGCTAGTGGAGGTGTCGAGAACAAAACCTTCCATGAGGGCTGGCACAGACCCCATGGGGGTAGTTTGCAAATATCGACACAAAATGTTAAATGCACTCACCTTTAACCCAGCAATTTCACTTCTAGGAATTTACAGATGTTATCAGATAACTGAATATTACACTGCCATTAAGATTCAATGTGACTATGCCATATGTAGTTACTCTCTACTATACATTAAGTGAAAAAAAAATTCTGCTAATTGTGTCAGAAATACACAGAAATATGCATGAAATCATTTTTGGAAAGATTCACAAAAAGTGGGTTGTGCCCTGAGCAGCAATCTCAGTGGTTAGCGTCAGCCTGCACACAGAAGGGTCTCAGGTTAGATTCCTGGTCCAGGGCATGTACCTGTACCTGTACCTGAGTTTCAGTTTAGCTCACTGCCTCCAGTTAGGGTGAGGGAGCTAACCCTCACCGATGTTTCTCTCTTCCTGTCCCTCCCTTCCACTCTCTCTGAAAAATCAATGAAAAAAATATCCTCAGTTGAGGATTAACAAAAAAAACAAAACAACAACAAAAAGCGGGTGGTAGTGGCCTTTGGAACAGGGAAAAGGAGAGGGAGTCAGTGTAGGAGGAAGCAGTTGTCTGGATTCTGAATTGGTGCTGCCTCAGGTTGGCTTTCCTTCATTATGCTAATGAAGGAGGAAGTTCAGTTCTGGTTGTAGGACCCTTCCAGCTTTAAAATTAATAAATGATAAGTTGGCTACTATTTTAGGGTGACCTTAAGGTTTTATACAGCTTACAAGGCTATTTTTAAGATGTGAGATTTTCCTTTGAATGGTATTTTTAAATAATGAAGAGGCCTAAGATTTATCACTTTAGTATTTCCCATAGATGGCAATGAAGAACAGGCAATAAGACAGGGTAACTATTCATAACAACTTGAGTCCCTGGGCTATGTTTAGAGAATTTTTGCTTATTTTACATAAACACAAACCCTCAAATTTGGAAAAAGGTTCTTTTGGCCCTTTTTTGGCTTAGATTGAACAGGTAAGTATTTAAAAACTGATTTTAGAGACTGTCCACACACCAATTCTTCTCATGAATGTTTATGTCCAAAGAGCAGCCATACTACACAGGGATCTTAGTAAGCTGTGTATTTTGTTAAATTATTGACAATAACCAAGCGCTCACATGAATATATTTTATAGACTTTTAAAAAAGAAACATTTACAAAAAGAAAGAAACATTTACACAAACAATAAACATGAAGGCTCAAAGTGAGCAGGCCAGCATTTACAACGTGATTTTTCAGGAGTGCTTGTGTCTTATTTTCGAGAACGTTTATGTTCTAAGAGCAGTACAATTAGCCTGTTACGGAGGGTCTTAATCTTGTTTGTATAGTGTTGTTGAAATATCTTCTTTAGCTTCTGCCTTAACAAATCCAAAGACGGAAGATGATGACAATCTGGTATATTCAACATGATGTGGAAAAATTCATTCCACATATCCAAATGCGGAAGCCTGGGAAAACAAAGCACAAATAAAGGATAAAATGTAGCATTCCATATGCAGGGCCCACTCTTGCCTTTGACTCCCAGTCATGGAGAACTGAACATTAACAACATTCACCTACATGAAACTCAATGCATCAAGAAAAGGAATGTTCAATCTATCCTATATAATAAAGAGGTGATATGCAAATGAACCATCACACCATCACACCATCACAAGATGGCTGCGCCCACAGCAGAGGCAGGGTTCCCGTAACACAAGATGGCTGTGCCCACAGCAGAGGCAGGGTTCCCATAACGAGCCATAATGAGCGATAAGAAGGGACCTGAGGCTGTGTGGTGCCGGGCTGGGGCACCTGAGGCTGCACCCCCCGCCTGGCGGGGCTTGACAAGGGACCTGAGGTCATGCCCCCTACCCTGGCACTGGGCCGGGGGACCTCAAGCTGGGTCGGGGGACCTGAGGGTACGCTGGGGGATCTGAGGCGGTGCTCCCGCCCGGCAGGGCTTGATGGGGCCCCTGAGGCTGAGCTCCACCACCCAGCGGGGCTTGACGGGGGACCTGAGGCTGCGCCCCTCTCCTGGAGGGACTTGACAGGGGACCTCAGGCCACGCCCCCCAGGGCCAGGGGACCTGAGGATGCGCCCCCCGCCCGGTGGGGCTTGATGGGGGTGGGGCTGGCCGGGTCTGGGTCTCGCACGATTTCAAGGCGCACGTGGGTGGGTGGGGACTTGACTCTGGGTTCCGCGGCATGCCCCAGACTCTGACAGGAGGAAGATTTTCATATACATTTTACTAATTTTCTTTCATCTCTGACACTTCTATTATAAAGAGCAAATAGCAATATTAAAATATTTCCTCTAATTAATTCCCTTTTAATGTGCACAAATTTCGTGCACCAGGCCACTAGTTTATAAATAAGAGATATAATTAAACATCTATAAATATCTTATTTCCAAAATGTGATTCAAGAAAAGTAGTCTTAGTAATAATAGCTCTTCAGTGGAAAACCTTTCTCTTTTATTTTACTTTTTTTTAAGAATATTGATCTGTTTATTGCTACCGGTATTCCAATATTGTCAGATCTGATAATCTGGTCAATGGCTCCAACAAGCCTCATTGCATCCATGCCAGGAACAGGCAGAAAGGCTGGGCTGCCCAGAACAGAGCACAGATTTAAAGTTCTAACCACTGTAATGGCTAAAGCTATCTGCAAAAATTCCAGAACATGGAGATAATGCACTGGGGGAAATTTGTGTTCCAGGCAGGAAATCCAGCCCATTATTACCAGGCCTGCTTAGAGTTAATTTATGGCTACTCTGTTCAGAGACTGAAGCCTCTGAATAATGTTCTGGTCCTTCCATGATGAGCCAGGAAAAGCATAAAGTAGTTACTAAATTTGATGATTCATGCAGAATAAAGCATACTGTAAGTTTTCCTCTGGAGCCTCTTTTTATGTACAGAACCTGCATTTTATAAAATTACTATTGACAGGTCTTTTTCTTGTAAAGTCTGTAAAAATCCATTCGGGCTGTACACTTAAGGTGAATGTCTTTTTCAACGTATGTTTTCATATTTCAAAAACATTTAAGAAAAAGTATCTACACTAATAAAAGAGAAACATGGTAATTAGCGTACGACCGCTACCCTTTTCATTGGCTAATCAATGAGTATATGCAAATTAACTGTCAGCCAAGATGGCGGCCGGCAGCCAGGCACTGAAGCCAGCACGAGGCTTGCTTGCTGCAGACTCCAACGTTCCCCGCCTCACTTGCCGGCCTCTCAGCTGCAACTCTAAGCAACTAT